GCAGAAATAAGTATGATTCTTTAAATCCTCTCTTTTCTTCAGACCCTCCCCTTTTATTTAATGAAAACCAATTATCCATAGTGGACAAAAAGTTCCTCCATGATCTGCCACCACTCACAGCTCTCTGATCCAAATCCTTCTGTGTTCCTCATCCACATTCCACTACATGCACATTTTTCTTCTCCCTCTTTCCTAAACATCACAAGTTTGTTTCCATCTCAAAACATTTGCACCAGCTATTTCCTCAACTTGGAATTCTCTTCCTCTAGATATCTGTCTAGCTCACTCTCTCACCTCCTCTTTAATGAGGTTTATACTCCTCCCCAACTAACTCTGCACTCCCAACCTCCCTTTCTCTGCTCTACTTATAACCTTCTAATGTACTAAGTTCTTAACTTATTTACCATGTATATATATTATGTTTTGTCAGCTGTCCTTGGGGAAAGTCCTCAACAACATTTGAATGAATAAATGACATAAGCATGAAGGTAAATTTCCTTTCTAGATATATTTTATTTAACTGAATCTTTTTGTTTATAAGAATGTTAGATTGGAGGATGTCATTACAATAAGGGTAGAAATAAAAATAGAGACAGGTGGGTAAAATAACCCTGGGTTTGATCCTAAATCCCAGAAGCAAAAACCATCACATTCAAAGAAGAGGAGAACTAAAGTGACAAGAAACATGTATTGAAAGAAAGGGAAAAGCAAAAGACAAAAGCAGTCATGTTTGTATTAAACCTCTAATTTGCTCAAAATACACCTTAATGGCAGCAGAAGCCAAACCCATCCTAACATCATTTGTTTGTTATCATTATGTAATACTGTCTTCTTTTAGAAACCTTAAGGGAAAAAACATTATTGAGAAAATCAATCACTTTGCATGGGAGATAGTTTGCTAGAAAATTACTCCTCTAATGAGTAATTTCTCTGATGTTTCTTTTAAAAGTTGTTATATGTGGGCCTCCCCTGGTGGTGCAGAGGTTGAGTGCTGGGTTGCAAGGCTGCCTGCAGCCTCTGCAGCACAAGTTCAATCCCTGGTCACCGGCGAGGGTCCCACAAAAAAAAAAAAAAAGTTGTTGCACGTATCAGCAGTAAACTCACAGAGACTTGTTGAGGGAAATGCTCCAATTTTCAGGAAACGAAACTCAAAACTTTTTTGAAATGAAGAGAAGCATTTTTGAACATTCCAGCCAGAATATATCGAGCCCTGCTCAAGAATTTAAAAAAAAAAAAAAAAAAGTATTTTCACAACAGAACTCTCTGTCTTAACCTCTATGCTACTGGTCCTATAAACCCAAAGAAGCTTGTCCCTCTTAAATTGGGAGTCAAGAGACTCTGTGATTTCCTTTAGAGCTTAATGTTGCTGTTCAGGTGATGAATTGAAGGCATTCAGATACCAGTGTATAGTATGGACTTTTTTTATCCAAATTTCTAGCAGAGAGTGGCTGACATTTTTTCCATCAACTAAGAATAGAAGATTTATTCTTCTAAGACCTGTAAGTCCTAGGACCTATGGTAGGTCCAAGGGGTAGATGAGGAGAATGAAAAGCAAGAAAAAAAAAGAAAAGCAGGACCCTCAGATGCATCTGCACCCCACCCTCTTTCCTCAAGGATAAGTCCCCATGCTGGGAACCTCAGTGGGGTACAGTGTGGCCAAGAGAATGGGGGCTCCAGGGCACAGACTCGCCCCTCAGTTCCTTCATTGCACTGACTATAGGGTTTAAGAGTGGAAGTTGCAGGGAGGTCTCCATTCCCAGTTTAGAGTGGAATCAAATGGGCACCTATTTAAGAAAGTTATCAAAAGGCATAAGTGTCTTGGATAGAGCCTGTCATTTTTGGAATTCAAAGTTATTCATTCATCTGGGGATAAATTATAAGCTCTTGTCTGAATTTCAGTCACATCATTTTTATTATTTTCCCTCAGAACATTGTCCCTTCCCCCAGGGGCTTGGTAACAAATGGCCCCAGAACCCATCCCATAGATTCCACCCAACAATTCTTGTGCCCGTACCTAGTCCTACTGTACTGAACCCAAGGTTTCACCAGGATTTGTGTGGCACTGTGTTAGATTTGAGTCAGCCAGTCTTAGTTGAATGTCTGCTTCATAGAATTATCATATGAGAATAAGAAATGGTGTATGGGAAGCATTTGGCTAGGATTTGGCCCGAAGCAGTCTCTCAGTAAATAATTATCATTGCTGCTGCTGCTATGTTATGACAAGTGTGCTAAGGACAGCTGTGTCCCAGTCAAGTTGGAGCCTCCCACCCTTTGCTCAGATCCGCTCTGTCATTCCATTTCCCCATTTTTCCCTGGCTGAGGCTAGTCCTTAGTAAAACTAAAGGACAACACAGGGGAAAACTTCATGACATTGTTCTTGGAAATGATTTTATGGAAGTGACACCAAAAGGATAGGAAAATAAACAACAACATAAAAAGAAAAAGAGGGGCCTCTCTGGTGGCGCAAGGGGTTAAGCACCACACTATGAAGCAATCCGCAGCCTCTGCAGCAAGAGTTCAATCCCCCAGTTGGCCAGGGAGCTACCCACATGGCGCAGCAGACTTCTCCTGTCTTGCCTGCTACTCCCCTCGGCAATGTATTTCAGTGGATCTGCCTGCTCTGCTCCCCACTCTGTCTCTGGTGAATCCTCCCACCCCCACACCTCTGGCCTGTACCCAGCTCTTGTATGCATAAATAAATAAATCTTTGAAAAAAAAAAGAAAAAGAGTAGGACTACATCAAATTAAAAAGCTGCTATGCAGGAAAAGAAACAATCAAGTGGAAAGACAACCTACAGAATCAGAGAAAATATATGCAAACCATATATCTGATAAGGAATTAATTTCCAAAAGATAAAAGGAGCTTTAGCAATCAATAACAAAACAATACAAACCAAATTAAAAATGGCCAAAAGACTGACTAGACATTTCTCAAAAAAAATATACAATGGCCACAGGCACATGAAAAGACTCTCAACATCACTAATCAATGGGGATATACGAACCAACACCACTTCACAGGTGTCAACTGACATCTTGGCTGGGATGTGGAGAAAGTGAAAAACTTATCCACTGGCTATGGGAATGCAGAAGGGTACAGATGTTACGGAAAACATTGTGAAGACTTCTGACAAAATTTAAAATAGAAATAGCATATGATCCTGCAATCTCACTTGTGGTATTTATCCAAAAAAATTGAAATAAGGATCTCTGGGAGCTATTAGTACTCACAGGTTCATTGAAATACTATTCACAGTTGCCAATATGTGGCAACAGCCTAATGAGTTTCTGTGGATGAATGCATAAAGAAAACCTAGTTCATGTGCACAAAGGAAAGCTATTCAGCCTGAACCTGGATGACACTTTGCAAACTGGTGAAATACACCAGTCACAGAAGAACAAATACTGCATGATCCCACTTACAAGAATATCTTGGAAACTCAACTACAGAGAGTCAAAGAGTGGAATGGCGTTTGCCTGAGGCTAGGGTGAGGGGAGGCTGAAATGGGAGGCAATCAGCAAGCATAAACTTTCAGTTAGAAGAGGTGAGTAATTCCTAGGGAGCTACTGTACAATACCATGCCTCTACTTAACACTGATAATACACCTAAATTTTTTTTAAGATAGTAGATATGTTAAGGGTTTACGACAATGAAAAAAAATTTTTAAAAGACCACTATGAGGGGGCTCCCTGGTGGTGCAAGGGGTTAAGACACAACCTATGAAGCTATCTGCAGCCACTGCAGCACGTCGATTCCCCCACCACCAGGGAGCAACCCACATGGCGCAGCAGACCTCTCCTGACTCACCTGCTGCTCCCCTCAGCAGTGTACTTCAATTTGCCTGTTCTGTTCCCCCCCCCTCTCTGGTGAATCCTCTCACCCCCCACACCTCTGGCCTGTACCCCAGTTCCTGTTTGCATAAATAAATAAATCTTTAAAAAAACAAAAAAGCCCCCTATGGAGAACCCAATCTGCCTTGTATATTCCTTCCTTTCTCTCATAACCTGACTTGGTGTTGCTAGAGTTTTGTTCCATACCAAAGCATGTTTCCCTCTAATCTTAACTAGTGCCCTATTCCACGCACCCACCATACACACATATACATACACTCACAATATTAGCATCACCAATGCTGGGAGACTTCTGCGTTGTGTTCTACCCACAAGAGTACATTTGCCCTTGGACACCAGTCTGACATTCTCCTACTGGAAAGGCAGGTAGACAAAGACACTCTCGACACCTACTTGAGCTATTAGTCCACAGCTTCAAACATAAAGGCACCTAGTTAGCAAAGTATTTTGAGGCTAATTCCTTCATCTAAACAATTTTCTCAAGAACAGAGAAACTGATGTTCTGCTGGGGATTCTGCCACATTCCTTCAGCAGCCAAAGCAGTGTGCCTGCAAGGCACACAGATAAAAGTTCCCAGAGCAGGAAAGGGAAAAAAATAATGACACTGATGAGGGCGACATTAAGTGTTTACTGTGAGCTAGGTACTGCACTAAGCATTTTACACCCTATTAATCATTAGAAACACCCCTTGAGCCTGGTATTAGCAATAATATTTGTTTTACGGGTGTGGGATACAATCATTAAGGAATTTGGATTGTTACTGGGCAGGGAGAGGGGCACCACAGACTCCCCCCCTTCAAACCTGCCTCTCTACATAGATTCTGCCATCCGCGTCCCACCAACACAAAACATATGAGACTTTAATGGGAAGGAACTTTAAAACAATTAGGAAACAATACAGGAAAGGCAAAGAACATAGTTTCTAAATCAAGTACCCAAAGTTACCCGTCCCCTCGTGAGTAAAAGTCTACCCAAGTAGGATTGGCCCAGAGCAAGGCCCCAAAGTCTGCCACATGTCAAAAGCATCTTCCAGTGGGGACCCACAGAAAAGGATTAGAAACCACCAGACAAGTCTGGAAGGAAAAGAGCAAAATCAAAATCAAGACAAAAACCACTATTGTCAACTCCCCACAGGTCTCTCACCCACATCTGTTTCAACCAGTGTGCCTCCTCCAGGTCTCCTTCTGGCTCTCCATTCTGCTTCCTTCCTTCCTCAGTCTCCTCTGCAGCTTCTTCTCTCCCTGCTCAGCTCCACCCTCCCTTGGGTGGGGCAGGGAACCTGGAAACTCCCCCTTTACTGAGGACCACCCTGTTACAGGATGAGTTGTCTAGAGTCACATATCTATTAAGTCTAAGAGCAGGGGATACATGCAGGTCTGCAGAAGTTCAGAGATTTCTGTCTTAAATACAACACATGGAATAGCAGAAATGGGATGACAATAACCACTTTGCGATCTGAGGGAAAACTATACACGAATAGTTTGACCTCCAGAGCAAGTGAGATAATTGCTACAGCCAGAAGAAGATTACATCCCATTTCTTTCCTCTTGGAGGAAGTTATGAGAGCTGACAATCAGTGGGTAAGGCTTTAAGGTCAGCTCTCCCACTTTCGAACCTATTCTTCGTAGGGCAGCCTCTAAAAAAAAGGAATGAAACCATCCACCAGAGGGTCAAGCAGGCTCCCATGGTAAGTGTGAACTCAAATGGGTTTTTCACTCCCTACCCCCAGAAAGCCTGCCCTCACCACTCACATATGCTCTCCTCATAACCACCATTTCAACTTCCCATTTGAGATTTCCATCTCCCTGATGAATTTTCCCCACACTACATAGCTCTCACTTGATCTTTCTGTCCAGCAGTGACTTACTTCCCAAGGTCTTTTCCTTTCTTCAACATCTGAGTAGATTCTACCTCTGGATTTTAATAGATTCCAGAAAGAATAATTCTGAAATATGAGCACTGCAAGTCCTCTTCTTTCCCTACCTCCAACAGATTGCTTCTAACGCATTAGACCAAATTTTCATATTGCACAAAGAAGTCTTCAAAAGACTTCATTAATCTGTAACTTGGTTTCCCGATTAATAATACAACTTTTTTCAAACACAAAAAATTGATAGCAATATTGTTATTAACCTAATTTATTTTTTAAATCTGAATGCCTATTTTATTTCCATTAGAAAAATATTACTATATAAAATTTTGGTCCACTTCTCCTTTACCTCCAAAATATTCAAATTTGAATACTTTAATTTTATTCAAATATTATTATTTGCTTATTTTTGATTTTGATTACTTTTGATTTTGATTAAATTTGATTATTTGATTTTATTCAAAAATTATTATTTCTCAGGAGTGGTAGCTCATCTTTCCTACATGCTATTTTTCTTTACTTTTATTTATTGAGTAAAGACGTACTGTGTGTCTCTTTACCCACATCCAGAAACATGAATGTGCGTAACTGTAATCTGTAATATCAGTAATAGGATTCATCATTTATGTTCAGTTACCCTTATTATATGGTATTTCTGTAATAACCAGATATTGTAGTCAATCTTACATTTTCCAGCATCAATTGTCAAAATTAAAATGTAAAAAAATTATTAAAATTTCAGACTAAAATTTCATCCTCTTTAAGACAAAAGTATTTTTGAAAAATATCGCAAAACACTTACCATCAGCGAATCTCGGACCTGAGTTCTTTCTTCCTCAACTTCCAACCAATCGAGTTTATTAACTCTAAATACCAATCTCTTCTATAGTTCTAGGCTAATTGCAATAGCTTTTGTTTTTTTAAAACCTCCCATCTTCTTTATCAGTTAAGACACAGGAACTGGATGACTGATTAGTTGAAACTGAAGAACCGTACTATTGTCAAAAGTCAACTTCAGTTTTCTGTACTTGAAAGATCTCTGATAAAGCTATGCTTCCAATTTTAATATTGTCTCCATAGAGAGCCACATTTCATCTTAACTCTATTTTACCTCTCTTGTGGGTAACTTTTTTAGCAAAACTCCCCTATTCCATGTTGGTGGCAGATCATTCAGTGCCCTTAGAGTGTGTTGGCAGCTGTGACTTTCTGTAAGCTGCAACCCTAAGAGCATCAATACTCATTTCTGCATCAAGTTTCATTTTCTCTGCCTCAATGTAAATGTTTTGGAAACTCTGATACATATTGGGTACTAAAGCATATGCCAGGCTCTGGACAGGAAGGGGAGATCTTGCACATGCTGCCCTGTGCACTCTTACAGGCTTACTGGTGCTCAGAGAAACTGGTTAATTTCCTTTCCCAAAGTAACAGCCAATATAAGGGAAAGCCAGAATACAAAGTCTTTATAACTGGATTCTTCACATAGCACCAGATGGCCTGTCAGATGATTATAATACAGAATTGTGGACACATGTCACAATTATTATAATTCTGGATAAACCAACTTGAATCATCTATGCATTTTTTAAAATGTTGATGACTTTGATTAACCAAGATATGCCATTAGCCAAAGAACTCTCTTTTATAGTAGAAAGACCATAAGCCTTAGACACACCGATTTTCTGCTCTTTTTTTTAAGATTTATTTATTTATGCATGCAAGAACTGGGGTGTAAGCCAGAGGTGCAGGGGGTAAGAGGACTCACCAGAGAGATTGGGGAGCAGAATGGGCAGATCGACTGAAATATACTGCTGAGGGGAGCAGCGGGGTGAGGAAGGAGAGGTCTGCTACACCATGTGGGTTTCTCCCTGGCCCTCAGGGGATCAAACTCTTGCAGTGGCTGGCAATACTTGATAGCTCTGTCTTTAACCCCTGTGCCACTACAGAGGCTCCAGTTTTCTAGACTTAATAGTAGTTTGATTTTGAACAAATCCCTACCTCTCTGAATCTCTTGTACAAAGGGTATTGTCAAGATTAAATGAATAATCTATATAATGATCAGTCATATTAATGAATACTGGTGATTTTCTCCTCATCACATACTCATTCTGTCCTGCCCACTTCAAGTGTGGTTTTTTTTAAAATAAAAAATAGTTCAAAATTTTCTTTCACTTTTACATCAAGTTCGCAGTCCCACCAAAGAAGCCAAACCACATAAATCAGAAATTTGCAATATTAAAAAAAAATTTTACAGATGTATTTATTGATGTATATAAGAACTGGGGTACAGGCCAGAGATATGGGGGGTAAGAGGATCCAGAGAGACAAGAGTGGGGAACAGAACAGGCAAACTGACTGAAACACACTGCTGAGAGGAGCAGCAGGTAAGTCAGGAGAGGCCTGCTGGGCCATGTGGGTCACCCCCTGCCTGGGGATTGAACCATTGAGCAGTAGCTGCGGGTAGCCTCATAGTGCTGAATCTTAACCCCTTGTACCACCAGGGAGGACTCTCAAAAATTTTTTAATAGGTTATCAAGAGACTATAAAGTACCCTTTATTCAAAGCAGATTTCTAAAAGTCTTTCTGTCATGGTTGAGCTATGGTCCTGCCCTAACTTTAGATCTCTTAATATCGATCCTTTATCATCACATGAGTGTTAGGGCAGACACTTGGGCCAACTCTGTGTGAAAATTGTCTCTCAAAGAGTCTCTCAGCATTAACTCTTCCATAGTTACAAAGATAGTGAATAGCATATTCAGTGTTCTTGTTAATAGTTCAAGACATTTAGTTATGTACAGGGAAGCTAACACACTTGAAGGTCCAGCAATATTAGCAATAAAGAAGGCAAAATTTAAGGGAAGATCGAGGAAACTCAGTGGCCCTGGGCTGCCTGAGGAAGTTTCTTTTTAATAATCTCTCTATCTACAAGAAGTCTGTAAAATGTGGAAATCTGAGACTGCCGCGGAGGCTCTAACTAGTAGGGAGAAGTGAGGCTTGCCTTAAGAGGGAGCAGGCCTGGACTTTTTGAGGCTCTCTCTTTAGCCTGAAGATCTTCAACTATGCACGCAAGTACAATTTGCCCTCAGGACACATCCACTGAAAGTGACTGTGGTCTATGGAGTTCTAAACTAAATGGTTCTAGAGTCAACTGAAGGTAAATTCTTCTTTAGGGGAAAACAAAACATCTGTGACAACTCACCATTCAATGACATGAAAGAAAAGACCAAACTCATTAAACTTGTTCATCTGCAATGAGAACAATAGACTGGTGCTTCTGGAAGAGCAGAAATGTGCTTTGGGTGTGTATGTGTGTGCATGTGTGTTCATACATGTGTGCAAGTGCTTGTTTGTGTATTTATATGGAGAGTATGTCTTGGGTCTGCACCCAAACCAAAATGAGCTTTAATAATATCAAAATTTCACTGAATTGCCCAAATGAAAAGTTTATCTAATTTTCCTTACACTTTAGAAAACTTGAAATAATTAATTCAGCCCCGCTACGAATTACACAGCTCTTGTTCATGGGACATGTTAGCTTCAGGTCCCCTCTGTCATGGCTTCTGTGCCCAGGAGTCCCCTCTCTGTTCTGTTCAACATCAGCCCTGATCACAAGTCCTTCTCTGGTTCACACAAGAAATCCACTTATGGGCCTCCCTGGTGGCCTAAGGGTTAAGTCTCAGCACGATCACCTCTATGCCCTGAGTTCAATCCCTAGCCAGGGAGATATCCACATGGCAAAGCAGACCTCTCCTGTCTCTCCCACTGTTCCCCTCAGCAGTGTATTGCAGTCAGTCTGCCTATTCTGTTCCCCACTCTGTCTCTGTGGATCCTCTCACCCTCCACACCCCTTACCTGTACCCCAGTTCTTGTATGTATATATAAATAAATCTTTTTTAAAAAAAGAATTAGTAGGATTAGTGTTTTAGCCCAGAAAATTCAAATCAAATCTAATACGTAATCAGAAACTTTACTTCTTCATAAGACTATACTTGTTTGTCTCCACCACCACCCTTGGTCCCTGATTCCTCAACATATTCAATAGAAAGGAAAAAATTCAAACTTATATCATGGTCACACTATAGTAAGTTCATTCATTTATTTTATGATTACATGTAATAATCTTTATATGTTCAGGAATTTAGTAGGCTGTTGTGGTTTCACTAAGCAGTTAGCCTTAATAATTATCTGCTACTTACCCTAATATAATCTGCATAGGACAAAGTGCAGTATTCTTTCTCTCTTGCTTTGAAAAGTTAAAATTTAAAACTAAGCCTGAAAGTCAGTGTTCTCCCCTTAGCCCCCTTACTCCTCTTCCAAAGTTCAGAAAAGATCCTTATCTAGTTGGAAATTAAGAGAGACACTTGATCTG